CGTTTGAGCCGCCATGTTTCCTGCCAGGTAAATGACGCTCCGCAACGTGGTGACGTCATTCGGGGCGACTGGAATCGATAAGGGAATCGTTTGCAAAAATGGCAAACGATTCCAAGGAATTGAAACAGTGGGAACCGGTTCTCAACAAGAACCGGTTTTCGATACCCATCCCTAGTCCCTGTTACTTTATTTATTTGGTTTTTAACACATGTTCTGACCCCCATTCTTTTTCACATCAATCTCGTCCTTTTATTTATTTTATTTTTCCCCTACAAACCATTAGTCTCATATACTTTTCAGATATAAAATCCCCCCCGTAAAGGGCTTTGTATCTAGTTTCACATTTCCACCATCCCTGACTTTCACTCCCTTCTAAGTCTGTAAAATTACCGCCAGAAAGGATTTGAAAGGTGAACACTTTGCTCAGTCCCCCCCCCCTCCCCCCTCCCAACCCAGTCATCCTCTCAAGTGGAATGTGAAAGAGGAGAGAGACTACGGGAGAGACTTGTAGGATTAAAAGAAAGAGGGAGAGAGAGGTTCGTTGATTTGCTAAACGTTAAACTCTCGCTGCCTTTGTGTCACTCGCTCCCGAGCAGTGCCGGCCCCTGGCGTTCTCCTATCTATGCGTACTTCTTCCTCATCCTTTTAGAAAAACATCTGTAGCTGCAGTTTTAAACATAAACTATAGCGTGTATGCTACCCATGTGTATAAGTAGCACACACGGTGGGGTAGTGTAACCTGTTTGAACAAACCCAGGCTTGTTCTGTGCAGGAGGACAGCTTATTCTTATCTCATATACAAACACTGTTTGCAAAGCACCTCGGCGCCTTCACTGTGATATGCTAAATAAATAGATAAGGGGTAAATGGGTAGATATACTTTGCAAGGGGACGCTCTAGATGAGGGGGGGGGAGAGGGCATTTAGTGTACACAAGTAGGTGTGAGCGCGCAGTCAACGACGACCTGGTCGCTGCTTTGGTTAACAGTGTTTAAGCTCGTGGAGGAAAAAAACACACACGCTCACACCTCGGTACATTTTGTGGTATTAAGATTTGTGTCAAACGTGACACTTTAATATGCAGCTTGGGCCAATCTCCAGCAGGAGGACAGTTATATGGGCTCACAGGGAGGCGGGGGTGAGGGAAATGGGAAAATAGAAATGGCGACGCAGAGAGAGGTTTTATTCTGGGAGGTAGAAACAGGAAAGGCCTGAGATTGTAGGCCATTCATCAGGGCACCATCCCTTCATTTCTGTCTCCCTCTCTCTCTCTGGGCCATGTGCCATGTTGACATAGCTAAATTAAACAGCTTTTATTGGGCTCCGTTTCTTGCTTAGCTCACTTCTCAAAATGTCAGAATTTCTCCCATTTTTCATCGAACCCCACGTGCAATGCAGCAAGCATGCACA